GACATTTCATAAAGATAAATATTCCGCTTTGACTAAAAATAAATAACAATATTAATATTAAATTGATTAAAATTAAAGATTAAATTATTGCTATTCCAATATATATATATATATATATATATATATATATATATATAAATTATTTTTGTTACATTACTTCACCACCTCCCCCGCCCCCCTAAAATCCACCGGGCTTTTTTTTAAAAAAAAAGTTTTTTTCATAATTTTTTAAAAACGAATCCATACTTCACCCTCCACCCACCCACCCACTAATCCCCCAAAAGATTGATATTATTTTATTTTTAAGAAATAAAAATTCTACCCCATTATAATTATTCCTTCATTCCTACTTTACTTTTTAGTTTTGAAAATCTTTCTTGTTTTGCATTAAATATATATATATATTTTTGATTTCTTTTCTATTTATATATCGAATATAAGATAAATAAAGTTTTTATTCTTAAAAGAGTACATAGCGACAAGTAAAAGATAATTTCGATAATTATATATCTATTCTAACACAAAACAAGAAAAGTAATTGGCATTGGAGTTTAGATGGAGTTGGTAGAATTTTTGTTTAAAAAAATTATCTAAATTAAAATTTGAAGGGGAAAAGGGAGATTAAGTAAAAACAAAAAAATTTAAATACATTTATAAAACAACCGTAAACAAAGCAGATTTTTTGTTTTTGGGGTGTGGGGTGGGGTAGGGTGTGGGAGGGTTGTACGGCGAGAGGAAGTAAAAGAGTCAGGAAAGAAAAACATTTTATATTAATTTTTTGATCTTTAATTTTAACTAATGCTAATAATTATTTAATTTCGAGTTAAAATGTTTTGTTCATGTGCAGTGTGATGTGAGAAATTTTTTAAAATAAAAAAGTGAGTATATTACACACTGGAGAATGTCATAAAAGAAAGATGTGTGTTTTTTAAATTAATAAGCGATAACTTATGAATAAAACTCACTCTTAATAATTTAGATACGAAACTAAAAAAAATGTATGGTAACAAAAGAAATTGTGTGATAACTAAATAACCAACCATTAAATAAATAACACCAAATATTACATTGTTAGTGGCCAATTAAATAATGTGTTCAAAACATTTACATAATCACTGTTTGAAGGTCAACCTCAATATCATGTACAAAAAGAAACTATGATTAAAATTGGATATATATACGTCTTTTAGTAATGATAATGCCACGTTATGTGTAACTCCCTAATTATATGTAATATATAATCTTACAATAAAAAAAATCCACGTTATTGCTTTTTGAAGATTTAACATGTCCCACTTCTCTATAATGTATATCCTGTCTTTCGTTTTTATATTAATTTGTATTAAAATTTGATTATTTTAAATTCGTACTATATAAAGTTTTGTTTAAAGAAAATATTTTTTTATCAAGAAGTTTTATTACATGAGAATGCAGCCTCATTGACCAGATATATCGTATCTATAACACAATATGATGTGTAGATTTCAACATGAGAATAAGTGACTGAAAATATATGATGTGTTATGCTAATTTGTTGAGATAAGTTTGAAACAATAAGAAGAGAATCCAAAAATACAAACCAGTACAAATTTTACACCACAAGGTTGTTTCATATGACGCACATGTGTTATGCTAATGTTTTGTTGAGATAGGAACAAGAACAAGAGAATCCAAAAACGCAAACCAGTACAAATTTTACACACAAGTTTGTTTTGCTACTTGTCATCTACATATAAATTGCATGTGAAAATTGCACTATAATGCAATGTGGACAAGATTTTGTAACACATAATATACAAAGAGTCAGCAAATGCAATATACAATTATATTTGTAGACACGTAATTTTTGATCGAATTTAAATTTAACACCAATTTTTTTAAAGCATAAATATTTTTATAAATCTAAATAAAATATTTTTTGACTTTTATATTATTTTATTAAGATTATTTAAAATATTATATTATATATATATATATATAATCATTTATTTTTAAGAACTTTATTTTTAATTGTTTAAAAAGAAATAAAGTTACAAAAAATATATATCTTTTTATTTTAATTTAGAGTAATAAATACACAATCATTTCTTAGTTATATATTTTTAGCCATTTAGTATCATTGTTGTTTTTAATGCAAAATAATTAATATTTTTATAATTATAATGTTATATACACTACTAAAAAAAGACCAAAAAGAGACCTAAAAATGGAGACCTCAAAAATAGGTCAATAATAAGAGACCTCATGAGGTCGCTATTTAAATTAATATCTTTTAATTTTTTTTTAATATAGGAGAGACCTCGTGAGGTCAATTTAATGAATAATTTTTTTACCAAACTTATTTAAAAATTTTAAATTTTTAATCTAATTCTCATAAAATTGGAGACCTCATGAGGTCTCTTATTTTTTAACTATTCAATTAAATTAAATTATTATTTTTAATTTAACAAGTAGAGACCTCATGAGGTCTATACTTGTTAAATTAAAAATAAAAATTTAATTTAATTGAATATTTAAAAAGTTAGAGACCTCATGAGGTCTCTTAGACAAAACCAAAAACCTAGCCAAAATTAAAATAACTCTTTCTTCCCTCTCTTAATTTTTTTACACGACTGCGCGCCTCTCTCTCTTTCTCACTGACCTCGTCACGGCGCGCCTCTCTCTTTCTCGTCGTCGATCGTCGCGTCTCTCTTTCTCGTCGTCGATCGTCGACCGCCTCTCTGCCGCCTCTCTCTTTCTCTGTCTCTGTCGACCCTCTCGCATTGCTATCTCTGTCCACCCTCGCTATCTCTGTCGACCCTCGCTCTCTGTCGACCTTCTCGCTCCGCCGCCAGGTCTCGCGCCACCAGCTCGCCAGCCGCCGCCAGCTCGCCAGCCGCCGTCAGTTGCAGCGCCTCAGCAGTAGCACAGCGCCTCCATCTCCAGGTAAATTTATTTATTTTTGGTTATTGAAACTAAATGTGTATTGAAACTAACTAAAATAACCTCAATAGTTGAACCCAACTCTCTAACTTCAATCATAGATAATTTAATATTGCTACAAGATGTTCAACATCAACGATGGCTAATTGGTTGTATGGTATTTTTGGTTCAGAAACAAAAGAAGACTCAATCTGCTTTGAAAAATAATCAATTATAAATTTCATCTGCTATTTGACCGAAGCTTCATTTAAGCTTTCAAACTTTCAACTCCTAAGAATATGTTGTTTGGGGTGGAACTCTTTCTCAGACAAGTGTTTTAAGTATTCTGGATCCTGACTTCAACTATTTAGTAGCAGAGCAAGAGATTGCACTAATAAGCTCAACTTTCCACAAAAGAACTGCAGAAAATGGCGTTGTAAAACGTATTATCAACAGTTAAAACATACTCAAAATAGTTCAGAGACGAGTCGTTAAAAAACCTATTACTCAACACACCCAAAAAAGATGTTCAGTAACAATCAACATTCAGAAATCGAATTATCTTATAATCTGTGATTAACCCAATATACAAGGGCAACTGCTTTGAGAATTCAACAGAAGAGTCTATCACAGAAAAATAGTCTCAACTCCACGCTGCTCATCGTGTAGCTCCTAAACTTTCGATGCAAGCCTATGTTCTACTAACTTTCCAAGCCACTTGGTATGCTATCAAATAGAGATGGGAAGATGAAAAAACCTCCATCCAGCCAAGGGGAAATGTGCACATCACCTCTTCGTTTTGCAAAAGTGCAAATTCACCAGCCTGTAAGCTAGACCCTGCCAATGAAGGTAAGGAAATTAAATCAAAACGAATAGAATAAAGATGAGTAAAAAGTCATATTCAAAACACCTATGTCGCAGCAAAACTGGTATTAAATTAAATACTTCCAAAGAATAACAAAACATGAATCAACTTCAAGCAACAAGATACAATCACAAAGGAACTTTCAAACTATATAACAACAAAATTATATTTTACAAAATTTCTTATATATATACTCTCATATTCCACTCTACATCAAACACTTCAATACTAAAATTCAATCATCTCTTTCAGTTTTTTTCTATAATTATAAATGCAGAAAATATATTGAAACTAAATGTGTTAGATAATTGAGATGAATTTGAGGTTCATTTGATTGTATTGTTATATATTTATATCTTATTGTGATATGTTACAAACCATTTTCATGTGAACATGAATCAATTTGTTTGAAAGTGGACTCATGTGATATGTTACAAACCATTTTCATTATTTGCTATATCGATCTTATATTTGAAAGTTTGGATGGGATGTCAAAGTACATAGTGACGATAACAAATTCATATTTATTGTTGAGATTCTAACTTTTTATCTAATGAATAATTATCTTCTCTGGATGGTAAGGAAATATTAAATCCCATGAATTCTCTTGCAATGTATATTAATTTGAGATCGTTATAAAATCTCGTAAGTTTCAAATTCTAAATCCATATTTTATTTGTTTAAGCATAAGTACCAACACTAGTTGATCCTATTGATGACAAAATTGATTTTCTTTTGAAAATCAATTTGTGTCCATCTAGTGTTGACACTTAGCTTTAAATTTAGAAATAATTATTTGTTAAGCTTAACAACCAACACTAGTTGATCCTATTGATGACAAAATTGATTTTCTTTTGAAAATCAATTTGTGTCCATCTAGTGTTGACACTTAGCTTTAAATTTTAGAAATAATTATTTGTTAAGCATAAGTACCAACACTAGTTGATCCTATTGATGACAAAATTGATTTTCTTTTGAAAATCAATTTGTGTCCATCTAGTGTTGACACTTAGCTTTAAATTTTAGATATAATTATTTGTTAAGCATAAGTACCAACACTAGTTGATCTTATTGATGACAAAATTGATTTTCTTTTGAAAATCAATTTTTGTCCATCTAGTGTTGACACTTAGCTTTAAGTTTGGAACTATCGTGTTAGTATTAAGTTAAACTAAACTAATTAAACTTAGAAATTTATTAAGTTAGTTAATAAGTTAAACTTGTTACTATAGTATTAGAATTTATTTAAAACTAGACTAATTAGACTTAGAAATTTGTTAAGTTGGTTAATAAGTTAAATTTGTAACTATTGTGTTAGTGCTTGACAAATTTAATTTATGATTCTTATGTAGATGGATCGTAGTTGGATGTATAATATGACTAATTTTGGTCGAATGGGGCTAAGACCTGAATTTGTAGAAGGTGTCATTGGTTTTGTGGAGTATGCTAAGACATTAGATCCTTTTCAACGTAGTGGTATGATTAAGTGTCCTTGTAATAAATGTCAATGTTTGAATTATGAAAAACCAGATGCTGTTGAGTTTCAATCCAGATGATGCTGTGGGGATCATTTCTCAGACAATCAAAGAACTCTATAGAGATGCTTATCCTACATGGGGCAAGTTCCCTAGCAATCTCAAGAGACAAATATTTTTGGAGTTCAGGGTATATTCGAATTTATTTGTTTAACACTATTAAAATACTTGTCTTCATTAATACTTATCAAATAAAATAATTTATGCTTTGATTGTAGAAAAAATGTGCTTGGCGTCCGGAACATGAGGCCAAAATTTGTGCAAACTTTCACAAGAAAGCTACGCATACTCTTGCTAGTTTGTTTAATAAAGCTCGTAGAGATAATAGCAAACCTAGCTGGGTTCTATCGGAGGATTGGGCAAAATTACTCGTGCATTGAAAATATGATCCAAGATTTAAGCAGATGAGTGAGATCGGTAAAAAGGCAAGATCATCTACTAAGGGTGGTTCTCTACACACAAGTGGGGCTCAAAGTCTAGGAAGTGTGAGGAGAAAATTGGTGTGTATCATTTTTCTTTGTGTTTATATATTTTATGTGTTAATATTTAATTACTCTTGATTATAACTTTATTATTTTATGTAGGAAAAGGAACTAGGAAGACCGATAACTCAAGCTGAGGCATTTAAGGCAACACACATTAGAAAGAAGAAAAATCCTGAAGATCCAGACGTGTGGGTTGAACCGCGAGCTGAAGTGACCTATGTAAGGCTCTAATTTTAAAAAATAATTACTTATTTTCTAAATTTATATTCTCATATGATAACATTCAATTTAGAATCGATATCTTCAAGCTTTGGAGGATTTACAACAAACTCTGCCTGAAGAAAATCGAGGTATGCCACTTACTCAAGAACAGGATGAGAGAGTTTGGTTAGACTTGACTTGTGGGCCGAGTAGATATGGGTATGCATATGGAATGCCGCACAAAACCTTTCGTGAATTTTCTTCCGAGTTTGAAGGCCTAAATAGTTCAAATCATGATGAATCAATGAAGAAAAATTTGGCTATGGAGAAAAAGATTGTTGAGCTATCTAGCCAAGCCGAAGAATCACGGGCTAGGGAAAGGCAGTTGGAATTACAGTTTGCGGGTCTTAAGGCTCAATTCGATGCATTACTTGCCTCAGGAGGGATTCCCCCTTGTTCTGGTGATGTCACTTTCCCTCCTCGACCTCCTCAATCTCAACCTACTCAATATCCAATGTATGGTCAACAAAGAAATATGACCCATGAGAGTAGTGATGAAGAAAGTGATGATTATGTGGAAAACACACTACCACATTAGTGAAGTTTAGACTTGTGATAGCTAACTTATGGATCATTTTGTTAACTTTATAATTTTGTGATGGGAATTATTTGTTATGTGAATACATGATAACGTTGGAATGTATTATATAACTTATGGATATCATGGTTTTTGTTTAATATATAATTATGTTGAAGTGAGTTGCAATTGAGTTGATAAGAGAATATTTAGTAAATGTATGCTTCAATTGAGTTTTTGAAGCTCTTGAGTTTGATTTGGGTACTGAATTAAAATGACAGGTGATGAGAAGCCGCAGAAATAATAATTTTCTGCCAGCTTTTTTCTAGAAAAAGAGACCTCATGAGGTCTCTATTTTGCATTAATTTTCCATGATATTTCATAATAGAGACCTCATGAGGTCTCTTTTTTGCATTAATTTTTCCAGATATTTCACATTAGAGACCTCATGAGGTCTCTATTTACCATTTTCTATTTTATAAATGCAGAAGAGAGACCTCATGAGGTCTCCCTTTTGTATTAATTTTTTCAGCTATTTCAAAATGGAGACCTCATCAGGTCTCTAATTAACATTTTATAAATGTAGAAAAGAGACCTCATGAGGTCTCTTTTCTGCATTATATTTTCCGTAAATATCATAATGGAGACCTCGTGAGGTCTCCAAATATAAATGCAGAAAAGAGACCTCATGAGGTCTCTACTTTAAAATAATCTAAAATTAAATTAAATAATATCTTAGCGACCTAATGAGGTCTCTTAATTAAAATATAAAATTAAATAATATTATAAAATTGTGACCTCATGAGGTCTCTATATAAAAAATATAAAATTAAATTAAATAATATAATAGTGACCTCGTGAGGTCTCCTTTTTGTAAAAAATCAGATTATTTGTTGGTGACCTTGTGAGGTCTCCATTTGGCGACCTCATGAGGTGTCTGTAAAAAAGTGACCTACATTTTACTGACCTAGCGTTGAGGTCTCTTTTTTTCCGAAAAGAGACCTCGTGAGGTCTCTTTTCTAGGTCTCTTTTTGGCCTTTTTTTAGTAGTGATATAATTAATTTATAAACAATCTAAACTATCACTACCCCACTCCCATACACCCCACGACCCCATGACCCAACTCCCATACTCCCCACTCACACTACACACCGAACCTGCACACACGTTACACACTACTACACACCTAATCACTGTACATATAGACATAGACACAATAAAAAAAGGGAGGCCAAACGTGAAAAGAAAAGAAAAATATACACAAAAAGGAAGAAAATGACTCACAAACAGAAAAATCAATTCACATTTTATTTCATGTTTTGCTTTGACTCACAAATAAGAGTTGAAGTTGAGGTTTATTTTCGTGGTTTCGAGTTCGGATTGTTTTCTTTTGGTGGAATTTTTGCAAGATATACTATTTAATTTTTATTGTATAATTTAATATCATGATTATACAAGCATTGATTGCAATATATTAAAGTTTTCGAATTTCACATATGGTTAAACCATTATATTTTTATATGAAGTATGTTCAAATATTTCACGTCAATTTTATGTTTAGATCGTTTATATTTTTATATTTAGTGTGAAATTGCTATAACAAATAGTAGTTTATTTCATATTAAATAACCCATCATTTATTTCATCCTTAAGTAAAATTATTGTCCAAGTCTGTTCTTATTTTTCGTATTTAGTTTTATAATGATAATATGTGTGGTTATTATGTAAAGATGCTAATTTTATAATCATAATATGTGTAGTTATCCAAATTTTTATATTCATGTCTTACTAATTCTTTGTTTGATTGTGTTTTAGAAAAACATTAAATTATATTTTATATTATATTATTATGTGTGTTGTCTTACATTATTATTTTTTGGATGCTATTAAAAATAATAAAAATAAAAATGGAATAAGAAAAAGAGATAGAATACGTGAATAACTAAAGAAGAAAAGAATCAATGGAGAAGGAACATTTGAATTAGAAAAATAATAATATAAAAAATATAATAAAAAGAATGGAGAAAATGTATAGGAAAAAATAAAAAATAAATAAATAAAAACAAAAAATACTTTTTAAAAAAAAACAAAAAAAACAACAACAAAAAGTATAGTGTTAAAAAATATAATAAAATATTTTATTATTATCATAAAAAAACTATTATAAAGGGTAAAAAAGAAAAAGAAGAAAAATAAATATAGAAAAAAAACATAAGGAAAGTTTAAAAAAAACGTGAAAAATTAGTACAAAAGAAATAAGAAAGAGAAACAAAAATACAATAAAAAATAAAAAGATAAATTAAGAAGCAAACAAAATCTTGAAACAATAAAATAAATAAATAAATAAATAAATAAATACTAATAATATATAAAAACTTGACATGCTTATAAAATAGAATAGTTTTAAATATGTTAAAGATAAATCAAAGAAAGAGGGTAAATACATTTGTTTTTATAATATAATATTCAAAAAATTAGTTTAAGTCATAAAAGTTGATAAAGCGACTATGGTAGAACCACGGGACTAGAGGGGATGCCTAACACTTTCCCCTCGGTCAACAGAATTCCTTACCCGAATTTCTGGTTCGCAGACCAAAACTAAAAGAGTCATTTCCTTTTTGTTAGGGGTTAAAAACGAAAAGGTGACTTGAAAAATCTTAACTCAATTCCAAGTGGCGACTCTGAAAATTAAAATAATCTCTTAATTAATAACGACACTTAAATTGGAAAATCCTTATGCTGTCGTGCGGAAAAGGGTTGTGACATCTCTGGCGACTCCGCTGGGGACATAACTAGTATTCGAGCTTGTAAACATGGTCTTCTACATGACTTTATTATTTTTTTACGTGCTTATCAGTTTTTGGATATTGTGTTTAATGACATAATATGTTATTTGCTTGCTTATATACCCTTTTGATAATATGTGAATTATTATATAACTATCTCTCCTCGCGCATCCATCTGAGTCTTCGAAGATACTTTATTCGGAGATGTGAATACGCTCCCGAGACATCAGATACCTGATATGCAGCAACGCTCCAGGGAAGAATTCTATAATAACACACGTCTTAGGATGGGAAGGACTAACAGTGAGACCGAAAAGCCCTGCTACTGGTAAGCTATTCCTTCTCTACTCGAGTGGTCCGCTCGTATTACAGTCAGTCTAGACACCTGCTCTATGAGGTTTTTTACCTAGTAAAACAAGCCTCCACTATGACTATCCCTTATAGGATTTGATTTATCTACATCATGCATATTGTTGAATTAATGGGGAGCTCGACACAGGGGCCGAGCATGTCTAGGAGAAAGTATCCCTACTTAGAACTATCAGGTACATTATTTGTGTTACTTGTTGCATTAATGGGAAGGCTATAAAAATGTTGATCGGCATTAGATGAATTAATTATAACAAAAAATTAATTATAACGAAAAATATAAAATTAAAATTTTGATATATTCCTTTTATTGAACACAATTTTCTCTATCAAAATTTATATTTCTTTCACAAATAGAAAAATCTCTTATTACTATCAAGTTTTTTCCATATAAATTAAAAAAATTGGAAATTTAATTAACAAAAAATAAAATATAATCAAATATAGTATTATTTTTAGAAAAAAAGGGATCTGGCTTGGTTATCTAATAATTTTTTTGGAGAAATTTTGAGGGCTACTTATATATATATTTTGTTTCTCATTTTTCCTTTAATAACCATTTTTAAAAAATAAAATAAAATAATATTTAAAAAATAAAAAACAAAAAATTACTTTTTCTTGTGTATAATTTTTACGTTATTCTTATTAAAAAATATATATTTTATTAAGCCTAATTTGTCACTATCATAATATAGGAAAATATGAATCCATATGAAAAGGGAGATAAGATACAAAGGGAGGATCAATCACCTCGATTCATGATATTGGATAAGGCCCCGACACTCTTGAAGACATGGTATAAAAATATGACAAATCATGGACAAGGAATGGTGTTCAAACGCTTGGAATTTCTACGAAGCCTTTTGTATATTGAGCCACAACGGGATTTGATAGAAGCACTAGTGCATTTTTGGGACCCATTAAGGAATGTATTCTGTTTTTATGCTTGTGAACTCATCCCCACACTTGAAAGAGATAGGGGCATTAATTG